TAAACGTTACATTCATAATCAAACGAGACAATCTGCAAGATAATGAGCTATTTGTTGTTATTTTTAATGCTTGTCCTTCACACGTTAATCAAATAAAATAAGTACCGATACATAGCAGAACAATTGTGGCGATGTTCAGCTTAATAAGCCTTGTTCAACATAATTTATTTAGCTAATACTACAGCGGGCTGCAGGCGAACCAAGTCTGCGTTTCGCTGCATTCCTTGATCTCCAGTTATAATGCCGGACTCCGCCGCCGGCCGAAGCTAACGGAGCCGCCGGGACGCGCTAGCGAGCTAGCCCCCTGCGGCTCCGTTAGCTTCGGCCGGCGTGGACTCCGGCGGCCACCACTGGGATAATTGGGTCCCCTTTTAACATTTGCTCCCGTTTAGCATTATGGGCGTCACAGCCATATACTATAAAAGGCTGAATCATAAACTAAACTGTATATATATATATATATATACACATGTATAAAGGGTTACGTCCTTAGCTGGCTAATAAGCTACATAATAAGCTACATAACAAGCTAAACTAACAAGCACACAAACACCTGCTAACGGGATTAACATGTATAATATTATCATTTTACTCACCGAAAAAAGCTGAGAGTAGACTTCTTGGAAGGTCTGTTAGTACATTCAAGCGCACAGCACTACATTTCAATTGTCTGGTATTTGTAACAATATTCCCTAAAAGGCACAATCACCACGAACACGGCTAAAGGGTCAAGTACAGCAACTACAACTAACTAACGTTGTAGCCTAGCAGAGTGGACAAATTGCTGTTAGCTGACAGTGAGGCACGTACCTGTCCATCAAAGTGACCACGCCCTAATTTATGCAAAAACTTTAAGACCTAATATAAATAAAAGGGTCTTGTTAGAAAACAATTCACTCACAGATCCATAATCATGAAGGTGGAATCCAACTATATTCATAATAATATTTATTGGATCCATAGGTAGAAACATGTTTTTTTAGGCTGTGAAATTGGGCATTTTAACATGGGGCTCTATGGAAATTGCTCCTTTCTGCAGTCAGCGCCTATCGGCCAATATATGAACTGCAGTTTGTGGCACTTCCGCATTGGCGTCCCGGCTCTTCCCCAGAGTTTGCCGCTTGGTTTGAACCAAGCGGCAAACTCTGGGGAAGAGCCGGGACCTATGGATCCAATAAATATTATTATCCGTCCGGCATTATAACTGGAGATCAAGGAATGCAGCGAAACGCAGACTTGGTTCGCCTGCAGCCCGCTGTAGTATTAGCTAAATAAATTATGTTGAACAAGGCTTATTAAGCTGAACATCGCCACAATTGTTCTGCTATGTATCGGTACTTATTTTATTTGATTAACGTGTGAAGGACAAGCATTAAAAATAACAACAAATAGCTCATTATCTTGCAGATTGTCTCGTTTGATTATGAATAACGTTTATATAGTGGAACTACACTGTTTTATCAAAACCAAAGTGCCACGCAGTAACTTGGTATGCATGTATTTCAGCAGGAAATGTGCATTACCAAATTGGTATCAAATAAACAGTAACACAACAGCATTGGTAACACAACTTCCAAAGTTACAGTAAAATAAAAAGAACCCTGACTCGGACAATACACAATCCAACATGTTCAACAGAAGAGAATAAGTTATATTGTTTGTACACATGGTTCTTTACATATATATCTGTTTGTTTAAAGTTTCCAGGTGATGCAGACAGGATGGACCAGAGAGTGAGAGACAGAACTGGACTCCTCACAGCAGTGAACTTCAGCACAGGTACAAATACTCTTTTTTCATACTGTACAAAGAATCAAGAAAGATATTGGTTTAAATAAATGAAGTATTGACTTTAATACACTGATATACATTCCATTAAACAATACTAAATACTAGATCACCTACACATCAGTGAAGTTGAGGGTTTTTTCCATGCAAAGGGTTACATTTAGATGTTAACAAGCAATATGACTGTCAGCTTTCTAATTTAAGGTATTGAAGGCAAAGCTATTAGTGACAACTGCTATTTATCTCTCAATATTGTCTGTAAAAAACGTGGTAAAAGTTATGATTTCAGTGAGAGAACAGAGCAAGCTTCTACAGTTGCACTAAGTTTTGATAACAGTTAAATATTATTTTGATAATAAAATATATTTCAATGTTGATGAATTTCATACTGTTCATTCATAATCTGATTGTCTTTGTAGCTCACTGTTGAAATAAAATAAAACATTACAATTACAAAATAATTATATCTACAGCCCCTAAACACAAACACACCTCTTTCATAAATAACACACTTGTTCTGCAATAATATGTTTTATGTTTCCTGTAATTTTTGAAAGACACGACTCAACATTTTCTCCTTCTCTGAGGGTCAAGAAGAACATCCAATAGGAAAATTAAAAGCTATTGTTATGAGATGTTAAGACCAGTACAGGACATTCACTAAGAAACTACTTTTATTGTGAAGTCAGCTGATCGAATGCACCTATTTCCACATCTACACTCCATCAGCTGATTAATTCTATTTGCCTCACTTTATGAGCTTCACAACATGTACCTTGTACCGCAGAGTTTGCAACGCAAATAAATGGGGCCAATCTTCAGTCGGATGTGAATGTGTAATCTAACATTTTCAGTAAGAATAATGGACAAAAGGAGTGAAAATACAAATTCAATTTATTGAAATCTGAACCAAAAGTTAATCAAATAATGTTTTAAATAAAAAAGCACATATGGACAGAAGGTGTAAACCTATTAAATGTATAAGTAAACACATTTAGTCAAATAAAGTGACAGACTAGGCCTGATCAGGTGGTATCAGCTATGCATGGGCTCCTCCATCAGGCCTGGTCCTCCTCGCTGAGGAAAGACCCTCAGTCCTCTCCGGCCAAACCAACAGACAGGACGTCCATCACACGGAGGTTTCTCCCTGAAGTCTCTGCAGCTCTCTGGACACCACGCTGTCTCAATCCGTCCACACTGAATATGAGGGGAAAATGAAAATAATAAATGCTTTAGACAATAAGAAATATAAAGTTGACTGTTGAGTTGCTCAGTTTTTTTAGATTGTCAATACTATTACTGTATAACTAATATCCCAGGTTAAGAGGCACCTTCAAATAAAGATTGGTCTTTAAATACATTTTGTCTTTTGAATTGTTTGTCTAAAGTCAAGGATCTAGAACTGGTACTTATAGTTGTAATGATACAGTCTGGTTATAATGCTGTTTGGAGGAGGCCTCACAGGTAAGAGCACTAACTAGCTACCATCACATGCACCTTAGCTTAACTTAAATGTATTAAACGTATAATTAAGTGATAGCAAAATATAAATAACTAATGTCATGCAAACATATTAATATTTGCTTGATTCCAGTGTTGCATTTAGCACATTGCATACAAACGTTAAGGGATTTTAAGATTCTGAAGTATTATGCTAAAAACTCAATAACTTAGATTATTATTTATAGTTTTGCTGAATAGTTTCATGTCCGCTTACCTTAGAAACGTAAAATGTGACGGCAGTGTGCTGATGGGGAAGCATGTTAGCTTAGCTTCTTAGCTTGAGCTAGCTCTGTTACTTCCCAGCTGGAGGCAGAAGGTCCCGCCTCGGCTCCGCCTCTTTGCCCTTATTTGGAGCAGGATGTAGCAGGCGGGAGTTAGACTCAGACGTCACTGTCGAGCCGTTAGTGGCCGACTCCACCTACTAAGGGCTTCTCGGCAACTCTGCAGAATCCTATGGGTGACGTCACGGACCCTACGTCCATTTATATATACAGTCTATGGTTTGAACAGACACGTTAAATGAAACAAATGCATGTGAACGGAAGACTTTTTTGAATACCATACTGTGCATAAACGCAAACGGTCCCGTGTGAGCGGGGCCTGAGGCTGATAACTACAGCTCAGTGAGGTAAAGGACTCAAGTGTTTAGATAGTTCACTTTAGTCTAAGTTATCTGAGATCTCAGTGGGTCTCAAACGGTTTGGACACAATTTATGTAAACAAATATTTCCAAGGCACACTTTATAATTATTAGGATAAATAACAACAGGTTTGAAATCATTCCAATGTATACATAGGACAGTAACCAAAAATATCGTTTAAAACTGGAGATATTAACAAATGTGCATTACTAAATAAATGTTAACTAGGTAAAATAAGATATGAATGAACAACAAAAATAAAATACGTTACATATATTTGTTATTGGCTATGGTAGGTTATTGGTTATGTTCACATACTTATTTGGTTATTAAAATGTAAACCGATCTTTTTCATATTGGTGTTTAAAGTTGTACCCCCTAGATCTAGTCTCTAGTCATTCTGCTCAAAGTGCACCAGATTGAAGCATTTTACTTTAAAATGTTAAAAAATCTATAACTCATGTTCATAAATGTTGTATGTGACGGGACTACGGATGGAAATTAGCTCAAAGCTCAAATCCGGCTAATTTACATTTGAAAGCATTACTTTGTTTAAAATGATCATCAATGTGCATTGTCCCGGTTCAAATAAACGATTAAATGAAAAAAAGGGAAAATCCCATTTAGCTTTCTACAATCCCTTGTTTCCACCGGTCTAAAATGTTTACCCTAGTAAAATAGATGTTGTACTTACTGAAAGTCAACCTAATTGGGCAATCAAGAATGATTAAGTATGCATAAGTTCTTACGATAATTAGAAGTACTTTAAATGTTACAACACTTGTGTTGAGATCATTTAAATCCTTTTCACAAACCATCGTGAAATAACACCCTCTTTTGAAGATGAGGTAATAATATTAAGTAGGCCTACGCTAAAAGTCAGTCAAAGTTCAGTAGGTGATAATTCAAATATGTACGTTGAGTTATCTCCAACTATGTGGGACCGCCCAGAGCCGTATAATATAGGGTTACACTATGACTATAGGCTATATAACACTAGGCCTATATATATATATGGCTCTGGTACCGCCCCTACTGGGCAGCTTAACAACAGAGGGAATTGGCTGCAGACGACAGAAGTGAGCGCAGGAGCCAAGATGGGATACCTCCCAGATCTTTCCATCGAGACCTGGACTTTAATAGTCATTTTCTTAACCCTAATCGCAATGTAAGTTTTTATGTGTAGTTTGCCACTATTTTTCTTCTGAAAGTTGATGTATTTCAGACAAATTGAGCCGAATACAAATAGAAAACTGGAGATATTGTGTGAACGTCACTATGTTATGTTGCTAAAAGCATTTTGCTGTGAAGTCTTGCAGTTTAAGTTGCTGCACAGGGGGAACCGACCTATTCTGAAGCAAAACGATCAGCGAAGAAGTGAACAGAATTGATTTGCGTGTAGAATACTTCCGGTTTTCTTCCAAAACAAAGTAATCGATCGCTTTTCCAACCATCTCAGCTGAGCCTCACTCCCGCTGCGTAACCAAGAAACTGCGCTCACTGTGACAGACACAATACTTAAGCTTTGAAAACAACAACATTTGATAAACTTACACTTTATCAGGACACAAAGTAGACAAAAAAATAAGCAACAGGCTAAAAGCTTTTATTTTCTCATTTCCTTATCTTCCTTTTAATCTTGAAATGCATCTGATCAACATAAAGAACATAATAATAATATTAATAATAATAATAATTGTAATTTATAAAAATGTATACATTCTTCTTTAAAGACTTCATACAAGTCAAAATGATGCTGCTATGGAAACAATAGGCTTGTTTGAGACAAGCGAGACCGACGCAGACCTGCGCAATTGCGATCAACGTCTTGCTAGTGCGTTGCATGATGGTTAGTCATTTTGTCCGACTTGCTCTGGAGGCTCGCCTACATGAGACGTTGAAATCTCGCGGGACAAAGGCGCCCGCAGACTTGAGAGCGAGGCGCGGCGAGGCGGCGCAGTTTCTCTCCACGGGCTGCGGAAGCGAAATGCTTGATGGGAAACGACTCGCTGGTATCTCGAGCTGAGCGCTCATTGGTGGTTTTTACCCCGTGCTGGTGATGAAACTCTCCATTGGCTCGGCAAAAGTTTGTTGTTTTGTGTCAGTTTTACGTCGCCACTTCCATTCACATTTTTCATCATTGTTCCACAATGTTTATCATCATGAAATTAATATCTATATATTTTATACTATAGGCCTACTTGCACTGCTTATAATTTACACAGTGCCTGTAAACCGGAGGAGAACGCTGGCATTTCTCCTCCTACTGGAAATACTACGGAGGGATAGGGTCTGCAAAATTAGTTTATTTTGGGGATTGACTGGATGCTCTGACCGGTCCACTTCCTGCCCGGCGCTATGCAACGCCTCCGGTTTACAGGCACTGTAAATTATATATAGAATAATTATGATGATGAATGCATTTTTTTACCACTAAAATACAGCAACACATCTTTGATTCATGTCGTTTATAACTGGAATATTACAATTATTATTAACTTTGTCTGTACAAAGTAGCCTGTCCAGGAAATATGCCCAAATCAACAAAAACTGCGAGCCGGCAGGTAAGACGCTCCGCTTCTGAAACGCGCCCGGTATGACGCCGGAGGAGGCCGGACCAAAACCGCGTCGCAGCCGTGACGCGACGCAGACGGACCCGGTGGATCGAGGGGTTAGGAGTATCAATAATGATAACACATTCAAACTTTGCCCTTCTGAGATTAGGACCACTTCTGTGAACATGTGACCATTACTCATAATAGATAACAGGGATACTTATTGAGGTGAAGTCATTCACAGTGGATATGTAAGTACAGTTTGCAATACAAGTCCATATTCTTTATCAAGAACATACTTAAACTTGTTTATTTTCCTTTTACTGATGATACAACTGAAAACACAAGGCAATATGAAAGAAGAATGGACTTGTTCTCTGTTTTTTAATCATGCTTTTAATCCTCAGATATGGATATGCTCCATATGGCCTTTTCAAGAAACTAGGCATCCGTGGACCCACACCTCTGCCCTTTATTGGGACCTTTTTGGGGTACACAAAGGTGAGACGCATTCAAATATGTGATCTAAGCTTACACTCCTCTTATAATGGTTTTGACTTTGTCACTCCTCTATTCCTTAGGGCATTCACAATTTCGACACAGAATGCTATCAGAAATATGGAAAGATGTGGGGGTAAGTGTGTGTACAAGAATACTCTATTATCTTAACATGCATAGCATATGCAAAGCTCCAGGCTGTAACTGGCTCGCCACAATATCTGTCATTTAATTTTAAGGTTGTACGATGGCAGGCAGCCAATAATCGCTACGATGGACACAGCTATGATCAAAGCAGTCTTGGTTAAGGAGTGTTATTCTGTCTTCACTAACAGACGGGTAAGGAGCAAAGCACACTGTTCCCAGTGATTCCCAAGTTAAGACCTCAATACTAATCAAATGTACACCACAATGTAAATAAGGCATTCTGGGTGTTTCTCAATCGCGAGTAAAGCTGCTTCAGAGCCACTATTTCAAGCATACTACGTCATCGAGTGCCGCCGAAGTACTGTTCCAATCTCCAGCATACTTGGAAATCTACCGAGCCCGGCGTACTCCGTTTGGAGAAATATTGAGGCTGCACATGAGTAGACTCCGCGGTCTTAAAATCCCCACAATGCTTTGCGCACAGACCAATTTCCCCAAATCTGTGGCGGAAGATGTAAGGCGGGGCCTCTCATATGACGCACACCTGCACACTTGCTAGCGTGTTCCACTCTTCGTTTTCCGAATGCTAGGAAGTATTCTTGACTCGCTTCTGAAGCAAGATGCTCGGCAGACATGTGCTACCAAGCAAGCGTACTCGCGATTGAGAAACACCCTCTGTGTTTGTTAAAAACCCACCTGTTCAAATCTGCCTACTCACTGTAGTGCTCCCCATTATATGTTTCATTTGTGTCCACTTGACTGTCTCCTCCATGATTTCCTGTGTTTTTATCATGTTTTGTTGCCTATTAGCGTTTTCTTTATTTTTTAACAAATTGTACGGTGTCCTTGGGTGTCATGAAAGGCGCCTAAAAATAAAATGTATTATTTGTTTGTTTGTTTGTTTGTGTGTGTGGGGTGGGGGTTGGCTTTAGGATATGGGCCTAAATGGACCCTTACGTGATGCCGTACCAATGGTAGAAGATGAACAATGGAAGAGGATTCGCAGTGTACTCTCACCGTCATTCACCAGCGGTCGCCTGAAAGAGGTTAAAAAGCACACTGCACCTTTAAAATATTTGTAATTAGCATTTGTACATTATTTACACCAGTTGTTTGATCATTCTGGTATGAAAAGCATTCATTCATTCTTTATTTTTTTATTTTATTTTCACAGATGTATCCGATAATGTTGCAGCACTCAGGTAATCTGATCCAGAGCCTTCACAAGAAAGTAGAGGCAGAAGAAGTCCTAGATGTTAAAGAGTGAGTAATTCTTTGATGAGATTTGGGCAATGACTTTTCATCTTTTTCATCTAAAGTCTTTTAAGAGGATTTTTTTTATTGTGCTATTCATTATTCCATGTATTTATTTATTTAATCGTTTATTTGAACCGGGACAGTGCACATTAATGAACATTTTAAACAAAATAATGCTTTTAAATGTAAATGAGCCGGATTTTAGCTTTGAGCTAGTTTCCATCCGTAGTCCCGTCACATATATTCAAGGAAACAACATTTCCTAAAAGAAACATTTGCATGCGTTAACCTTTGGCTTGTTCCAACGTTTGTATGTTGGCCTTTCTTTGTAGTGTATTTGGACCATACAGTATGGATGTTGTGACCAGCACTGCCTTCAGTGTGGACATTGATTCCATCAACAATCCCTCTGATCCTTTTGTTGCAAACATAAAGAGAATGGTCAAGTTCAACTTCCTGAATCCCTTGCTTGTGCTTATCGGTATGTCAAAGTTATGCTGTACAACCTGACTGTCTAACTCGACCCCTTAAACCCAAAATTAACTATCTTTTGAACTATGATTCTTTTCAGTTCTGTTTCCATTCTTGGGAGGAATTTTTGAAAAGATGGATGTGTCATTCTTCCCTGCTGAAGTGACAGGGTTCTTCTACAACTTTCTAGCATCTATCAAATCAGACCGGAATAATAAAGAACATAAGGTATGTACAATTGATTGATGTTGATTTTTGTCCATTTTTGATATGTTGTGTTCATACCTTTCCCTTAAAACACAAACTGGAGAATCAATATAGGATTTCTACTTTCTACTTTGCCTTGCAGAATCGAGTGGATTTCATGCAGTTGATGGTGGACTCTCAAAGTTCAAAGAACAAAGACGATGCAAGCTCCAACAAAGGTAAAGAAATAAATCATATTTAATTTTCTCTGTAGTCGCGGCTGAAGGGTCAAAAAAAAGAAAAATCCCTCGGTTGAAAATAGAGTTTTTAACATTGTCTATATGCTACAAGACATAACATGAGATAGATAAGCAGTTAACACCATGGCTGAGGTGTTTATCAGGAATGTTTGAATAGGTTAATTATGTTTTTTTTGTTTTACAGGACTGACTGATCACGAGATCCTGTCCCAGGCAATGATATTCATCTTTGCTGGCTATGAAACCAGTAGCAGCACACTTGGATTTGTAGCCTACACCCTGGCAACACACCCTGAAATTCAAAAGATCTTGCAAGAGGAGATTGATGAAACCTTACCAGACAAGGTTACTAGAGAGTTTTTTTTACTGTATCTATATTTGTATTTAATCAGCAACTGATCATGTGCTACCAACTACTTTATACTCAAGGATCGGCCAACCTATGAAGCAGCGATGCAGATGGAATACCTGGATATGGTGATTAATGAGGCGATGAGGCTGTACCCTATTGCTAGTCGATTAGAGAGAATGGCAAAGTCCTCCGTGGAGATTAACGGTGTGACCATCCCTAAAGGAACTGTCATAATGGTGCCAATTTACACTCTACACCGTGACCCTGATCTGTGGTCTGAGCCTGAGGCTTTCAAACCTGAAAGGTACTATACTAGATTGATGGCAGACTAAGGTACATTTTTACCTGAATTTAGTCATTCGGCTAATCAACTTAAGATGTTTGTTCATTCTTTTTTAGGTTCAGCAAAGAGAACAAAGCCAACATAGATCCATATTCCTTCCTGCCCTTTGGAGCAGGGCCAAGGAACTGTATTGGCATGCGATTTGCTCTCTTGATGATGAAGTTGGCTCTGGTAGAGATCCTTCAGAACTTCAGCTTTGTCACTTGCAAGGAGACAGATGTAAGGAAACATTTTCAGTGTGTGTTGTCAATAGTGAAGGTTTTTATGTAAGGTTGGGTGCAATCATGTTTGAGCTTTTACAGGGGTTCATTTTGGTCACATTTCTTGTTTTCCTAGATTCCAATGGAGCTGGGAGTTGATGAATTGATTACCCCCAAGAATCCCATCAAACTGAAGCTGGTGCCCAGAGCAACCGTTGCCGATTCTCCCTCAAGCTAACTTTTCGATTATCTGCAACAACTATCTCTCTTTTTCAAACCAATCTACAGCATAACAGTTTATTAATAATCAAATTAAAGGACACCATTTATTGTCAGAACACCATGTAAACTTGGCTCAAAAAGCTTGGTTATACTTAAAAAAACATTGTTTATGTTTTCGTCCTTTTCATTTACTCAAATAACTTAATTTTTCTCCATGTATTTTGACTAAATATATCCTTCTTTGTTATCCTTTTTAAAATCTTGAATATAAAAGATTAACAATTTTTGTAATCACCAGTACTATTCTTAACACATATGCTACATAATTGTATGGCCATTTGTTATCACTATATATGCTAATATGTTACTGTAAAATAGTTTTATAACATGATCAACTTCTATGTAACAGTGGAACGTACATCTAAAAAAAAAAAACAACAACATTACAATTGTATTTTATCGCAAAAACGCCATGTAGAGAGTTTAAATATGCTCAAATATCCAGCTTTGCTTGTTTCCATGTTGTTGGATTATGGCTGTGCTCTTTGCTCTGCTTTTCTAAGAGGTTGGAGCGGAGAGCTTATCACAGAGTGCACCTGAGGAGGCTTTACTCAGGAAACAGGGTTTGAGATTGCAGCAAATAATGACCTCATTCTCCATCCCTTTCAATCATGGCTTTGCTCATATGACTTATATGTTGTAATCACATCTCATTTGTACCTTTTTTTTTCATTTATCTAATAAAAGTTCTTAAACTCATTTGATCATCTGTTATTTTAGGCAAACTATAAGCCTTTATTTTGGAAATCCAATAATATAATTCATAACTCACATGGGCCTTTTTTCTGCATGGTGGTACTTTTGATTCTTCTTACCTTTGCAGAATAATCATTTTGTTTTGACAGTTTTGACACTTTATGGCTATTTTTACTTTATTACCAGATCTGGATACTTCTTTACTGAACAGTTATTTAAAGATCATTGCAATTTGTGCTGCCTTGTTACATCAGCAGTATAGGACAAATTAAAAGCCAGTGAAGTACAGGTGAAAGGGTACTCTCACATGATAAACGATGACAGGTGAACAATAAAACACAAGCAGAGGCACATAGCACATAAAAACGGTCTTGCAGTGCTTTACATCATTCAAATTATGATAGGCATTCATACATGAAGAAACATGAGGCTGAACTTTGACGGAAATACCATTTTCAGAGTCTCAAGGGTAGGTACCAGCAGTCTCTTACTTACACGCTATCGTGGGAATATTTCAGCAACAATGACTTTGCACAATTTAGAGCAGATCCCTTAAGAAAAACATCTTGTCTATGAGGTTCCTTCTATGAAGACCCGGTCTAAAAATGGTAGTAACAAAAGAAGTATAGAGTGAACATTGACTCTTCTTTGACAACCCTCTCCCTATCCTATTTCAATAAATAATTGGCGTTGTTTTAAATGACCTGACACTCCCATATTGTTGGACAATATCAGCACACTATTTGAAAACAGGGTTTTAATGTGGGACTTCACAGCATTTCTGGCCTACAGATGGACATACATCAACTCAAATAAAACTTTAGAACTTTATTATTATTATTATTATTAAACTTTAGGTGTGAATAGAGCATACTGTAGGCTTGGAGACATCAGGTGGTGTTAGGTTGTAAATGCTGTAATTTGGACGTTAGGGGGCGTTAAAACACTGAGAGACGATGCAAGTCCTCTCTCCTCACACGAGGCGTCCATATTTAGGGGAGTTTTAAGAAATAACCTGAAATAACCTAAATCCTATTAGTAATTTAACGGATTGTCTGTGTGCTATAATGTTATAATCAATTTAATATTTTAATGTAGCTTTTGATTGCAAACTACTCAGTTGGAGCACACTCATACTATTGTCACTAATCATTTACTATCACAACTACTCAACATGCACCTATAGTATGCCATGATTAGACCAAATGTACCAAATTACGCTAAGAAACAGTCATGTGTAGAAATCAACACTGGACGTCCGAAACAAAGAGGTTTATCCCAGAGACTCAGGGACGCCCTAATCCCCGCCCCCTAGCGAAATGCCATCCAGCCATTGGTCCGATTGTTACACTACGCCACTTTGATTGGCTGGCGGCCTCGTCGTTGAATGTCTGTTGTTTGCACTCGCCTGAGAGCCAGGGCGCTGTGACAGTGGACTGCTTTGATTCATGCTGTTGTGGAGCCTCCTTTTTGGATTTGGAGAACAATTAATGCGGCCAGAACTGAGCGCATGAAGGTATGTTTACACGGGAGGTTGTGGGAATAATTGCTACATGTCTTCCACAAATTAAGTCTCTAATATAGTCGGGCTTTTTTGAGTAAAAAAAGGTCAAATTCAAAAGTCCATAGACAGGTTTTTGACCCAACCTATTTGCTCGTAGTGCATGGTGCTTGTCATTTCTGGTTAAGTGAAACTTTACAGCCGCCAACTAGTCAGTACTTTGCACTAAAACCTATTGCTAAAGTACATTTAGAAAGACAGATAATAGCAACAATCGCTGAGAACCACGGGTCTTATGTTGAGTTCATTTTCAGGGTAATGGGTGTGATTACTTCAGTAATATTGATGCAGTATTGATTTTACCATCATCACTGCAGGCAATCTATATGAATGATAGCTAATGTGTTGTTTTTGTGATGTCTATATGACTTTGCAATTGAAGTTAATGTTTCCAACACGGGAAATAATGACAGTCCCTTGTGTCAGACAAAGGCCTAAGACGGCAGGTGGATCCTCTGCTGTTCCTGAGCAACCGCTGCGATCATTAGTTTGGTTTGAACACAATGTGCAATCTGTCTTGCACATTGAGCACAGATCCTTCCTGGTTAATGAGCCAGGATAAGTTAAGTTTAATCCATGCTTTGTGTACTACTGAGAGAAAAGATTACCATAAAGAAAATAAGTGAACTGTGTCCTCCTAGTGCACACAAGCATGGAAACACTCACCAAAGACAAATTAGCTGTAATGCTGTCCTATTTAGACTTTTTTATTTTGCTCGATCATCATGTGATGAGATGCATGGATGAACCATATATCATTGCAATACTGTAAGATGTTTACATTGGGCGGTTATGAGTTCATCACAAAGCCACACTGCAACTTTGCCATATGAAACCATGCAGGCTAGAGAGTTGGATTCAGGGATTTACTATTCACTGATACTTCCCATGGTGTGGGCATCCCTGGAATGTAGACATTATTTTCCATGGACACTGATTTACAGATATCGGGTGACACATAGAGTTTTGCCTTGACAGCCAACAGCTCAAACACACTCTTATATCTGTGTGTGTGTGTGTGTTGCTTTGCTGTGAATGTGTGGTGAGCCACAGAATGCACCGAGGTATTTGAATGCTGCAGCAGGAAAGTAAACAGTAGCCAACATTCTCTATTAGAGAAGAGGAGAAGTTTGTTCAAAGGGAGGATGAAGACGGTTGCTTTAACTTTTGGTACTGAGGAGGGACAAATTCAAGTTAAAATCTGAACAAATTAGCGGAAAAACATTTTTAAAAAAGCAGGGCATAATGGTCACTAAATGGTTATCTGACTAACCAGCTTGCTTGTATTTTGTCAAACACATGATTAACACTCTTAGGAGCAGCCCACCATTATGAGGCACTGATAATAACCTGAAAGCAACTTCAACAACGATGAAGTCAACTGTGTTTTGTCTTTCTCTTAATTTTAAGGATGACATCAGCTGTGTGAAGTGTGTTGTGGCCCTATGACTATGACTGGACCTAGCTGATGAATCACAGGACACAGTGGATGGAGTGCGGGATGGCTAATACCTTAAAAGTGTGTGCAAATAAGATGTTTCAAACATCTCATTCACCTTAAAACAAATACAATCTTTACTATGGGGACCGAATACAGCAACTGTCCTCAGTCCCTCAGCAACTTAACATGCAGATATGCTAATGACTTCCTGTTTATAACCCTGGGCACAACACAGTGAGGCCAAAGATGGGACCCAAAATCCCATCCTAAACACGCTCTGTGCGACTCACTGACAAAATGCTCTCAGAAAAGTCACTAACGCTAGCACTAAGTGTACCGCTTCACATAAATCCATTTATAACAGCCAGTCACATTTTAATTTCTTGACTAAGCAGATCATTTTCATTGAATTTTAAGTACATTTTATTCCTTTGCTTTATAAAAACAACCAGTAAGAATATGTCTCTTACATATTCCCTCTCCCTCCCTCTGTGTCCTCAGGATGAGAAGATGAATGTGGAGGCTCTAAGCAGAGGAGAGCTGCTGACTCTCCTCAGTGTCCTGGAGGGAGAGCTGGAGGCCCAGGATGTGGTCATACATGCCCTCAGAGTGAGTATTGACACTTTCATACACATTGCAGAACACCTCACATGCATTTGGGAGCAGTCATACGTAATAAAAGCTGAAAAACAATATTAAAGCCGTCCTAGCAACCTATTAAAAAAACACGCTTGTTTGCTTGCCTTTACACTAAAATGAACCTGTCAGCATTACACCCCCCAAAAAGAATGTGTGCTAGCAGGGAGGGGATGTGTAAACAGGAAACTAAGGAAACAGAGCTAGTAAAGACAATGGTGCAGGAGTCATTCTGGTTTCCCAGGCCTTTATTCCAACAGTTCACCAACGTTATTACTGCCTTAAACAGGATGTAGTCTACATTTCAAATTCTCATATTTTTCTTCCAATTTAGGCAATATTCAGAACTATATATGTCAACAGTTTTTGTCTTAACTATCAACATCTTTTCACATTTCTTTCAATCTGGGAAATTCCAATTGCTTCTGAACTGAAAGAATATTTGCCCTCGGCCATAGAGGAGGCTTTGCTGGCTGTTTGGCACCTCTCTTTGGGTACATACCTCAAACACTTGTTATCAGGCTTTCTCTGACAAATCAGCTGCATCCTACTGTGTTTCAAACTCTGAACAGACTAGGGCGATGTCTCGTCTTTCAATCCAATTGCACATTTTGAAAGCACCTTAGACACCCAACAACACATTTAAATTATACATCCCCAGTTTTGTCCAGCTCATTCATTCATATTCAAGTGAAAGGGCATAGCTTTCCTTCAGCTACAATGCTTTGCAGTGTTTGAGTCTAGTCTGATTGGCTCTCCCCGTGCCCCTGGCTGCTTTTCACACTCATGATCGCTGCAGCTGCTCCATGCTCGGATGAAGCTGCTTAGTCTCTGAATGCTTGACTCATTGTCTAAAGTAGTGATTCAGGCTGTGATGAGGACAAGTAGCAACCCTGACTGTCTAGTCTTAATGAACCGGCCTTGATAGGGATGTTTATCTAGCAAGTAAGTTAGGCTGTAATCATGAAATAATGTTCGTGCCAGGGCTTGAAGGAAAGCCGATCTTACATTACCAGCCCTGATGCATCTTAGATGGCAGTTTTCCAGATCTGATGCAGGCAGGGTTGGCCCCAAACGCTACGCACACGCACATAAGTTCCCCTTAGGACAAATGTACAGTCGCCATGCTGTCTGTACTTATTCATCTTTCTGTATCTTTAACCGCTTTTTACCCTCTTCCTCCATTCCTCCTTCCTCACACACAGCGACATTACGGGGGGTCTTTCATCTTTACCATGACCTGTGTCCTATCTGCCCACTCATTCACTCACACACACGCTCTGGTGGTCTCTGGTGGGCCAGTTACAGGCTGCAGTGTTTATTATGGAGAGGATGTAAAGAGTTGTAGGCTCAAATCACTGACTT